CAACGTTTTCAGCTGGAGTCTTGGAGTATTTAGATTCGTGGTGTTATCTTTTAAAATGTGGATATTGAAAAATTCCCAAAAACGTTTGGAAAAATTTAAATCCAAATCACTTCCAAATGTGACATTTATGTTTAACATTTTTCTACGCATTAGGAACATTATCCAAGTTTTTTTTTTCAATATACATGTAAATGGTTCTAGTTGCTACAAATACATAGTGGTTGGATATGATTCTACTCACTTTAAGAACAAGACTTGTTCAAAATTTTCCACACTAAATCAGTATGTTGGAGTTTCTCAATGCCAACATAATTGTAGATGTATATAAACAAAGTATCTGCATTCTTACTGGCAGATTTATTCTTTTATTCATATGAAGCTGAATTTCTACAGAAAATAGTTGAAAACAAACAGTACTGAGAAGCAAAATTTTCCATTCAGATATATGGATGATGTACTTTCCATCAACAATCCTAAATTTATTGAATGTATGCACGGACCTGATTAGTTTGGGGTTGAAATCTTGGCGCAGTGTGCATAATCATCACATTTCATTAAAATTTGGTTCATAGATGCTCTGGGGTAACCCACAGACATGATAAGTTTAATAATGAAAAACATGCATATTGATGATTAATGTGGGGTATATCTGGAGCCATTTCTCAGACATGCTGATATTTAAACGTGTCTTGAAAAGTTTCTTTGAGATGAACGAGTCAATTTTATTCAAACTTTGTATCATGATCATGCATATTGGATTAGATTTGTTTTTGAGATTCAAACATAAATAGACTAGTGGTCATTTTGTTTTTTATTCATGTCTGCTGATTCCTGACTAATACATCGTCTGATTCAGATTAAGATTTGCAACAAGTGCTATCCTCACAGATAGTACTGCTATTTTTGTTATTTTGTGATTACAAATTTACATAAATAAGCATAAATACAAACAAGTGACCTGACGGTCAAAATAGATCCACCTGACCTCGGTAACCACACTATCAATACCCTAGGAAACAATTGGATGCACAAATGATGGATCACTAGATCCTGGGTACCACACTGATATCCAGATGCAGTGACTGAATAGAGTTTAGGCAATTCACCCTTTTGACGTTTCTGATCAGAGGTCACAAAATTACTATTCCAAAACAGTGTGACAGTGGTAGTTTTTCAGATCCATTTGGAGTACAGCTACAAAACCTTAGGTGTCTCAAATTTGAACCAAACTTTAGGAACAGAATGGCAGATCTCAGGTCTGAACTGTCCATCGTTTTCCTGTCTGGACACCAGTAGACTGGTGCTAATGACACGTTCCAGTCAGTTTTGGTTCAGGATGCAATGTTTATCAGTTAGGGACAATCTCAATATGTGTGTCTTCTCTGTTTCCAATGATACATTCAGAACGTCAAAAAGCTATCTCTGTCAACTAATAGCCCAGCTGAGATGGTTTCTTTATGACCTGGAGTGGCTGACCATTGCCAAGCTATTGTATCTTGCATACATGCTCTTTTTATGCTCACATCAGCAAGTGACCTTTATGAGGGACCAGTGAGCAATATACTCCAGTCGCCCTGTAACAACTCCACCATGGCTACAACACTCAGTACTTACAGCACCAATCCCATCTTTTCTAATGATTGTTCGTGCCATGTGGTGATTAAAGACATAAAGACACTAATCATGAGGGAAATGATTATGCCAATAAAAATGTTGCAATCAACTAAGTCATTAGTGCTGCTTTCTTTTCACTAAACTCTTTATGAGTCACAGTATGCTATATGTGACTTAATTGCTAATTGAGACATTGGTCTTAAGTGTCAGACAAGAAGTGTAGTGAAAAGGCTTTATCCTTTGCTGATTTAGCAGTCATCCAGGCTGGGTTAAGAAACCAGAGACCTGTTAAACGACTGTGGTCATGGCGCCATGCATGCGTGAGATATGGGTCTCGTATAAATAAAGATCAACGAGTACAAGCTGAGATGTTACCAAGCTTTGATTAGATGATTTTTAGGTGATTGGTAGTTATCGAATGAGTCACCCGTGGCAGTTAGTGCAAGTCATGCCCAGGTGAAAACTTATACCTGTGATTTCCATTAGAAGAACGCAATGGATTGTGGGAAGATCAATGTTGATCAATACAAATGTCACACATGTGCAGAGGGACGACCACCACCTTTTAAAATGGGCCCCCTTTATTCATTTCTGGTTGATACCGGCTGCCAGCACAAAATATGTGGGGAAGTAGTGGATCCTGTGCCCGGTGCACACACATGCACTGGTATTGCCAGAGGTGCACCTAGGGGCAATCGGAACCTGTCATGCATAGGAGGTACAACAGTACAACCAGAGCTGATCAGTGTTTCATACTATTACGCAAAGGCCAAGATGACGATCTGACATCTCTTGCTAAATCCTATGCATGTTCATGTGCTGGCATCAGCGTATATGGAGAGTCACAGAACACATTCTCTTACTACTAAATCAATACGTCTCACCTGTCAGTTAACAACGTGTTCTACAGTATTTTCACAATTTGAAAATGCTTTTGTATGCGTTTAATGTTGTACATTGAATATTTGCTATTTGGGATAATGACTATGGTGCCTACAGCTTCACTTTTGATTCGAACTATACCTACTTTTTCTAATTTAGACAAAAAATTCATTAACTAGAAAGACTACCAATTACTTACAGTGCCTGACCGCCTCCCCAGGCATCTGCACTCACTCTCGAGAGCTGCTGTCTCTTCAGTGCAATTGGGCAGAACTGCTTATTTCTGCTGAAATCTGATGCCGTGTACCTGATGGGTGATTAATTCTGGGGTTAGACTTTTTGATTGGCGAACAAACCTACTTTGCATAATTTAGACAAAATCTAACATTTCTAGTGTATGTGTATTTCTAGTGGCAGTGACTAATGAACACGTAAACTGTCTGGAAGCAGTCTTTCTAACTCAGTTTGTGATCATACTGGCGGCCATCATTTGCATTTTTTGGCAATTTCCTCTTTGTTTATCAGTATGCATTTTATTAACACAGATTTTACTCTGCTCCGGCAATATGTGATCTTCATGTAAATTAAATTGATATTAAAGGGCGGTAGTCGTTCGACATAGGACTTACAGCGACGCACATAGTTTACATGAAATTCGTACACGCGATGCGCGACGACCACGGCCCTTTAATGCTAGCATTACTGCAGTTTTCTCATCAAAAATAGGGTGCAGTTTTGCTATCATTCTTCATTAGTTCTAAGCAAATGGTCATTTTCTTGTTCGATATGAATATAGATTGGCCTGGGTCAATTGTTTTGCAAAAATGGTATAGGTTTATAATCGTGAGCGGTTACAAAAGTTTAAATTGGCGCATTAAGAAATATTTGACACATATTCTATGTATTTGTTTATGTAAATGACTAATTTTACTTAAGTAAGGAATTAATTTCAGTAACTGCGATACATACTGAGTTGACCACTATCCCTAGCTATCGTTACAGTAGAGTTTTTATAGTTATACTATGATACAGCAACATTGTGTAGATATGGATAAAATTGCGTTTAATGGTCTCTTCAGTGACCAGATTTCTCATAAACGATTGACTCCAGCACGGTTACAAACTAACTTTGACTTCAGGTGGCATGATGGCTGAATTTGAATAGTAACAAGACACCCCTCGAATTGAATACTACGATTTTACATCGGATAGATCGTATTTTGATACATTATAAAGTAAGTTATTTCACTGATATTAATTATTTAACAAAACTATGCATACTAATTTTTCCCGAATGAGTCCTAAAACATTGTGCACACTAACATTTCTCGGATGGGTCCTCAAAAACTATGCGTACTATAATTTTTCTGATGGGTCCACAAAACCTACACACGCTATTTTTGCCCGGATGGGTTCTCAAAATTGACGAATTTTTTTAATACAGGATTTGGAGATATCAATATTTTTACATAATTATTGTGTAAATACAAAATGATTTTTTATGTGATAGTGGTATTGAATCTAACCAAGCAATATTTTAGTGACTCCTTTGTAGATTTATAGACACACGCCCGGCACATTAAAAACACGGATTTTTGCTCAAATTTGGATTTTTTTATATTTCTATGCCCTAGTATTAAATATGCTACAATATGCGACTAAGCGACTGTGCTCAAGTCGGTGTATGCGTCCTAATACATACACAGAAGCAAATAGCAGATAAATAGAAGGAAAGCTTTAGACTAGTTTTATTCGATGATTTTCCCTTGAATTTTACCTGATCGCTGTAGGTACACTATAATACAACAATTCTGACAATGACGGTTTGCAAATAATAAATCATTTCTTAGCTGAAGCTTCCGGAAACCAAGCCAATATGCGATGAATACAACGTATACAATGTACTTCTACCGTGTTTATAAAACTTTATTAATTAATATAGTACAAACATGATAACATACGATATTATTAGGAAGACAATAAATTATATATGCAACATTTAAATGAATTTAAAAATAACTGTCGAGAATCTTTGCTCTATTGAAATATAAAAATACAGTCCGTCGCCGGAGTCAGGATCATGTATACTGCGCATGTATTCTGCGCATAAAATACAAGATATATACTAGTATATTTGTTCAGAACAGTTTGAGCTGCAATGTGTTGAAAAGAAAACAATTTTCAACATTTATACGCCCACTGATTTGTCATTTTTACATATGAGGCAGGTTGGTCAAAAACGTAAACACGATCAATTTCGTACTTTGTAATGTCAAAAACTGACCACCGAACTACTGTAAAAATAAATTTTGCTGATTTACCATTTCAGGCATATTCATTGGGTTTTTAATTCACGGTTTTATCATTTAGATAATGTGTTCTATGCTAAATTGTACATATTCACTGGGTTTTAATTTAGCACATTTTCCAGTCAGCGAAATAGGCAAAATTAAAACCCAGTGAATTATTAACCCCTTTACAGTATACTTCAATATATCGCCCTCTATTGCCCAATCTGTGTTGAACCTTGGCCCCACCTGAAGCAGGACACCAATCTAAGTGAAGATCTACTGCTCAACAAAATGTAAACCTGTGCAGTAAACCTGCGTTAATTATTCGGTTTAAAATGTCCTTGAGATCCGGAGTACATGGTTCATTTAAAACAGGTATGTATACAATTCTTCCGTCTAGAAGAATGTCATTTTACTATGTTTTTAAAATAGAATTTATACTAACAAATGGTCCCAAATGAAAAACAACATATCTAAATTCAAAAATGCGTTAAATATTTACTTTAAAAGTATTCTATGTGACTCTGCACTATGGACTGTTGAGAAATCAAATAACATGACATTACAAAGCAAGGCAAGTTCGCATAGGAGTGTGTGGCTTGGCCGAAAACCTGAACATAGTTTAATATAAAAATATATAAATTACGATGGACTTATAGGATGTTATTTCCCTCGTTTGTATGTTTTGACCATGTCAGCTAATTCACTGAATCCCTCGTATATACCGCCCCCGTTCGTGGCCACGGTGCCCTGTATATGCCAGGGATTGTCACGCAGTTGTCGCAAACCTAGACCGTCAATAACTTCTGCCGGGGAGCACGCACCTACATTCAAACAGAAAATATGGAAGTGAGGTTTTCATACATGACAGTATGTTTATAATTAAATCAAGCATATAAAGCAAATCAGTCAATAAAATGGTATTTACACATTCAAAATCAATAATTACCTGGCAAGTCTTGTTTATTTGCAAATATGACAACTGGTATTCCTCTCGCCATCTCATCACTTTGCACTATTGCGAATAATTCTTCCTTAGCTTCACTAAATCGTGTTCTGTCAGCACTGTCAACTATGAATATCAAACCTACAAATACAGACACAAATACTTGTATGACGTAATTGTTTGAAGCTTGTTTTTAATTTACGGATACACATTTTCGAGATAAAGCTATATTCGAGTCGAGTCAATAACTATGTAAACATTGTCAGAACCAGACAAATAAAGTTTAAAGGGCAGCAGTCGTCGCGCCGCGTCCTGTTCGATATGGGACTTATAGCGACGTATACAACGCGTGTAAAATACATTGTTTATTTACATGAAATTCGAACACGCGCTGCGCCACGACCATCGCGCTTTAATGTGGTGGCACAATCGCAGCCCGGTGTATGTTTTCCTGTTCGTAGAGGTTCACTTCAAACTGACTGGTTAACTAAATTATTATTCAGGAAAGAAATACTAATAAAAAGGTTTTATGTACATACGTATATATCGTTTGTGTACAAATTGTGCGATTATTACGACGTTTTTACATTTTTAACGTATTTATATGACCATTTCTGTGGTACGAGGAGTACGAATATTACACATCTGTAATTTCTATTGAAATCGGGCGGGTTGCGGAGCGGGCTACGAAACGGGTTGCGGGACAGGTTGCGGAACTTACCGTCCGTGTTAGTGTAGTAGTGCCTCCATAAAGCTCGTATTTTTTCTTGACCACCCACATCCCATACAGTAAACTCTAGCCCAGGCTTTGGTTTCACAGTCTCTACGTTAAACCCAATAGTTGGTATCGTCGTCACAGTTTCGTTCAATTTTATTTTATATAAAACAGTAGTTTTTCCTGAAGAAAAAAGCAAACAGAAAACACATGAATCATCGACTGTTCTTGTGGCATATATCTGAGTATTCGTTCCAATGCACTCCGAGTTGTTTTGGTTAGTACAATATTAGTGGTTTTGATTTTCATTAAAGAATATTGCTTCGCGTCCTGCAAACGCAACATTTTTTTTTAGTTTATGACAAATCATATCCAATCTGATTTAGTCTTCAGTATAGAGTGTTGAACAATATAAAATAGTAACCATACCTGCGGCATCCAATCCTAGCATCACAATTCGCGCTTTTGTGTCCCAGTTACCGATTAGATTGACAATTTTAGATAAAAACAATCCCATGATAGTTGTAAGGTGTGGTGATATACCGGTGGTTTCAAACTATGTCCAAGTTATATTATTGCCACAACCTTTAGAATCCGCAAGTTCGATATTTCAAAAGTGATTGAACATTTTTAATGTACGGGTTATATTTATACACATGGGTCTGTGATGTGGTGTTCATGACGTGGAAGGTAACATGTACACCGTTTTTGGAAAGCTACTTTCACGTCGTCAAGATTCGCATGAATCATCGTCTTTGTTTCTAAAAATAGACACTTGCAACCGACGTGACGTCACAACTGGAGTGTGTCGGATGCACGATTCGCGAAGGCCCGGGCGAAGAAGATCATTGGCAGAAATGTTTGATTAGTTTAATTTAAAACGTACCTTTATATCAAGGTTGAGGCGACCTAATGGCGATAATGAAAATATATGTTGTAAACTTTGTTGCTGGGATTTTTTTAAATCTGACTGAGTACCCGGAAGTAAATGTGATCATGTGACATATTTACTCCGCCATATTGGTTTTCTATGGCTTCGTAAAAGCGAATGCGAAAATCGCGACAAAATGTCGGAAAGTTACGGTAGGATCATACGTTTGTTTATATGTGTGGGCGAAACTTGTTTATTATGACGGTAATTTGATAGTGTTTGAATGAAGTTGTGGATCTCTGATTGTATCTGATTGCATTTCGGCTCTGTACATAATAATTGTAATAACGGTGAATAGAAAAATAGTACGACCCACCCCCGATACGGAAGCGATAAGAAATTATGTGAGTCAGTGAATGATTGACTAACTATGATATGTAAGACGCTTTTATTGCTACTCCAAAAATGTAGAGAAATGGACTGCCTTGTGTGCTTCAAATTGTTGGACTGTTTAACGATTTCATTTATCATGAACCATAACATTCATTGTTTACTCAGTATAAAACCTTAGTTATCTAAGTACACAGTCAGACACCTTGTTGTGTCACTGTGGCATATAAGTACACAGTCAGACACCTTGTTGTGTCACTGTGGCATATAACTACAATTACAATATAATATAGGAATATAATGCTGATCAGAGTGCCTGTCAGTTTTCAAGACATCATATTATATAGATGTTTCAATTTTACATCCAGCATGAGATGTTTTTTTATGTAATCATGTCAATGGGTAATCTCGATCTTGACCTTCACAGTGACTGCTATAAATATAATATAAGTGAGCACAATGATGATATAGGTGGTGGTTTAAAAATTCATTAGTAAGCGTTCCTTAGGGCCCCTTGACCATAACTATTCCTAACCCTGCCCTTCCAGTACCCCTCCTCCATTTCAATTATATATACCCTTCTTTGGTTCACAAGTGATTATATAATAAATGCGATATTTTCTATTTGGGAGTGCCATCTTGAATATGGCATAAAAAACATGAATCTAAAAAACGTTTCACAACTTGTCTCCTTATTTAGTTTCATGCTGTATTCAAGATATTGGCCCCATATAGTAAATATCGCATTCATTTTATTATCACGTGTGTGCCAGCTGACTGTGCCCAATAACATATCATTTGGAGACGTTCCAATGTTATTCAATTCGCCAACAGAAACCTCTTGTTTCAGTTTGAAATGTGAAATTTATAAAATATTTAAAAAAACATTTACCTTGAAAGAATCTCACACTTCATTTAAATCAAAAGAAGACATTTCCATTGGCTATAGAAGTTATTTGGTAATGCCCATTACCCATGACTTTTTGCATCCCTAAACGTGATGTAATTGGTTTAGTTTTCAACCATTTCATAAGTAAATATTTTATATAAAACAAATTCATCTCTTCATGAAATTCGAACTATGAACCACATTTATACACTGTATATACAGTTTTTTTTTTTAAAAATAACAATAAATCAAGTCAATAAAGCTTCCATAAAACAACTTTTCACAAAAAATAACCTAAGTAAGAAAAATTTTGAACTATAAACAAATGGTTAAAATATACTTATTTTTTTATAATATAAAATGATCGTAATTTTAGGTCTATCAGTGTTTTGGACACTTATGTGATACATGTTATTATTTGAATGTGTACTATTTGCGTTATTTATGTCACAATATGTTTCCTTAATGTTTAAATGATGGTGATTATTTCAACTAATTTGAAACTACTAACTGCATTGGGCATTGTTTCCAGTCATTATACCAGTCAGTCTTGCATGGTTTAATTTTTTCAACATACATGGATTCACAATGATTTGCAATTTTTGAATTACGGTATTGTGAGCCACAGTGTAATCCAAATCTATGGTAAATTATCAAATTCACATGCCTTCATACCATTAAATACAAACAACTTTTATCATAAAACAAATCAATCTAGAATTTCATTCTCATAGTCAGCATCAAAGTCAGCATCTTGATTTAATGATTTGATTTGATTTTAAAACCATTGAATCCTGTGAGCGTCCTGACATTCTGTATTAGCTTTTGGGTTGTCAATGCATGCATGTTTATTCATGTTTTCTAATCCTACGGGATCTAAAACAAATAACACAAATCCATGAGTTGATTTTTTAATACTTCTGCATGTATATGCAAATTAACCGACAACTGTGCATGTCTGTCTATGATACTCCGTACTTTCATACCAATAATTGTCCCAAGAACAACACAAGCATTTGAGCATGTATTTTGTTTTAATGCAAGAAATAAACACAAAGAACATCTACATTGTATGACATGCAATTTGCACAGACCTTAATAATACTCAGATTCATGTTGAATTAGATTGTAGTGTTTTCTTGATGTCTGTTATCAGTCTTGGAATGAAGATGACATCATAGCAGTATGTCATCACCACATAAAGATGACATCATAGCTGTATTAGCAGTATGTCCTTATTTGCCACATAAAGATGACATCATAGCAGTATGTCCTTACCACCACATAAAGATGACATCATAGCAATATGTCCTTACCACCACATAAAGATGACATCATAACAGTATGTCCTTATCACCACATAAAAATGACATAGCAGTATGTCATTATTACCACATAAAGATGACATCATAGCAGTATGTCCTTACCACCACATAACGATGACATATCAGTATGTCCTTATCACCACATAAAGATGACATAGCAGTATGTCATTATTACCACATAAAGATGACATCATATCAGTATGTTCTTATCACCACATAAAGATGACATCATAGCAGAATGTCCTTACCACCACATAAAGATGACATCATAGCAGTATGTCCTTATCACCACATAAAGATGACATAGCAGTATGTCATTATTACCACATAAAGATGACATCATATCAGTATGTTCTTATCACCACATAAAGATGACATCATAGCAGAATGTCCTTACCACCACATAAAGATGACATCATAGCAGTATGTCCTTATCACCACATAAAGATGACATCATAGCAGTATGTCCTTATCACCACATTAAGATGACATCATAGCAGTATGTCCTTATCACCACATTAAGATGACATCATAGCAGTATGTCCTTATCACCATATAAAGCTGACATCATAGCAGTATGTCCTTATCACCACATAAAGATCGCATCATAGCAGTAATACTAAATACAGTTTTTGGTTTGTTTTAGATTTTCTCTTCAAGTTTTTGGTGATAGGTAGTGCTGGTACCGGAAAGTCGTGTATTCTTCATCAATTTATAGAAAGTAAATGTGAGTATGTTTTTTGAGAGACTAAATTTTATTTGAATTAACATGCTCAATCTCATAACAATATTTTTTTATTATATTTTCTTGTCATTGGTTTTCAGTTAAACAAGAATCAAATCATACGATAGGAGTGGAGTTTGGTTCTAAAGTTGTGAATGTAGGTGGAAAGTCAGTAAAATTACAAATATGGGACACAGCAGGGCAAGAAAGGTTTAGGTTGGTATTATGTATATTTATTAAAAATATGTACAATTCAGTATGAAATGGTGACAAATATTGATTCACATGTTATTCATTATTTTTGTCTGATCTTAATTTCTTTGCTTACATGAGAAGGAATTTCAATTGCTAAACTTTAATGCTACAAAATACATCAAATCAGAGTGAAATGTGTTAATTAAACTTGACACCATTGCAACACATCAACACTATTGGTTGACAGTTGGACATTAAACTCAGACTTGAGTTCAAATAAATCAAATGGGGAAATTGTTTTCATTTCATACTGTTAAATATTGTTTTGTTCTATTGTGGTAATTTCTTTGTTTACTTGTCTGATACGTTTCCATTGTCAGGTGACCACATCATGTGTCACAATGTTATTTGATGTCGCCCAATCAAGAAACTTACAAATTTTAAAGGTGACATTAATGAACTGTAATATTGGTGACCCCAGAATTGATAAAACCATTATAATTTAATATGTGTCACATTCTAACTATGTCCCTGTATTTAAATTACTTATGGCTTTTTTAAAAAGCAAATTCAGGAATAATCATCATCGTTATTTTCCTCTGACAGGTCAGTCACAAGAAGCTATTACAGAGGAGCAGCAGGAGCTCTACTTGTATATGATATCACAAGGTGGGTAACTATAGCAACATAATATTTACATAATTGGTATATTGTATATAAATGCTTACATGGTTTAATTTTTAAGTGTAAACAGTGTATCATCTGAACTATGGTGGATTGTAAATAGCGGCAATATGACTGACTGAAGCTGAATATCTTGATAATTTTTTTTTTTTTTTCAGTCGGGAAACTTACAATGCTTTGGCTAATTGGTTGGCTGATGCAAGAACGCTAGCAAGTCCAAATATTGTTATTATACTATGCGGTAACAAGAAAGATTTGGAAGCTGATAGAGAAGTGACGTTTTTAGAAGCGAGCAGATTTGCTCAAGAAAATGGTGAGATATAATGTCTTAGCAATGAGTCCTACAAACCACAAACCATAGACAGGATTGTGTATATGAACTACATATTAGCCTGATAAAAATAGTAATAGGTATTGTTCTAAAAATAGATATCATAATGAGATTGTTTTGTTTAATTTACTTTTAATTATTTATTTATTTTTTTCAGAAATGATGTTTTTAGAAACCAGTGCACTTACTGGTGAAAATGTAGAAGAGGCTTTCTTAAAATGTGCAAGATCAATTCTTACTAAGATTGAATCAGGTATTTTCAGTTTTGTGCTGAGTTTATAGAGATTATGTTACTCAGTATGCTTTAGATTAGATGTGTCACAAACTACTTCAGAAAAAGCCATTTTTGTATTGTTATTAAGAACATAACAATTAGACAAGATTTCACTGTTCTCAAGAACCATTCAACATATTTCGATGAAAGTTGGTACACATGTGCCCCTAAGACAAATCACAGACACTTGACATCTGTCCAAATTAATTATCTGATTTGCATAATTATTCATTTTAAGTAGTTCCGCCATAAAATACAATTTATTTATAATGTATGGAATCATTTATCACATGTAATCTAATAAACTCTTTGAACAGTGTATCCAGTTTATTATTTAAATCATTGGTATGAGTAATTAGGAATCAGAAATATTTAACGCATTATGTAGTTGCATATATGTTTTGGATAATGAGATATGTTACTAATGGTCCACTTTTATTTTAGTTAATTGCTCAATTAGTGTACCTCGGATTCATCTCAATAAGGTTTATTATTATTTCAAAATAGTTGTTTGGAGGAATCAAGACAAAAAATTCTGGATTTGCGACTTCAGCATTATTATAATCAAATATTACATTTTTATTGACTTATGTGCAAAGCACACAATGGGAGTCTTTGCAGTTAGTCAGTCTGTATGTGGGCATGTGTGGTATCAACGCTGTGACGATGTTCATTTAACTTTACACCTACCAAGTGACATCAGACCTACCAAGTGATGACCCTCTCTATTATCATAATTTATATTAATATTCAATTGAATTTAAGTCAAGTTTGCATAGCTTAGGTTAGTAAAGGGGGAAGGTATAATATTATATTAATATAATTGTACCATACCTACCCATTTTACTAAACCTAAGCTTTGCAAATATTTCTATTTTGAGTGAAAACATAATTCTATGTTGTATTGCATCGTAATTGAGTTTAATTAAACTCCAATTAAAACCCTATTTAGGAACATGTTTTAATTAAGTTCATATTGTCACTATATTAAAAGTTAATTCAATTATATTAAAAGTTAATCCAATGTGTGTTCTTACAACGATGGTAAGATGTGTATGTACGGTATATGTGCGTTCGTGTCTGTCTGTTCCACTGATATCTCTAGAACCACTTGTTGATTTTTGATGAAACTTGATGCATAGATGCTCTGGACTAATTTTTTTGTTATAGTTTGAACCTTTATTCTCAAATTTCAAACCTTGGCACTTAATAGTCAAGTTGTTTAAGTTCAAGGAAATGTCAGACTACCTGTATTGACTAAATTTATACATGTGTTACGCATAAAATGAAACTATTCTGAATATAGAATAATAATAGGCATTCATAAAGTGCATATGAAAAACATGATCTACTAATTACAGATAGTGAATGGAATAGCCAGGACAAGGTCACTGTGACAAAATGTAGTACATGTGTATAATAGGTATCTGAATTCAAGTTCTGAATTGTGTGTAAATACCACTGTCAATACTGCTTTCATTACAACTTTATACAACCCATCAATCATTCATTGATAAGGATCTAATTCAATTCTATGATATCTTGCAGGTGAACTTGATCCAGAGAGAATGGGATCCGGAATACAATACGGCGATTCATCACTTCGCAGAACCAGAAGAATACCAGACCAAACTACACAGCAATGTAATTGTTAAAGCCAATCTATAATGAGTTGTTAATATACAAACAAACAAACACTAGACTTTTCTCATCACAAATATGTTCCTGCCATTAGCTGTGAGAATGTTTCATCTTATTGGGGTATATCTGGAGCTGCATTTAAAACCAGTTATGTGGGTTTTGTTGTTCAGTCTCAAAGTGGTTGCAAACTATTATTATTTTCAATGCGTCAAGGCTTGCTTTACTTGCAATTGGAATCAGTATTTTGCATGTGAATAGGAGCAGAATTGTCATTAAAATTGAAATCAGGTTCCCACAATGTAATATCTGAACTTAGCAAACATGCTTCTAACTTCTGGTATTTTCAAAAAAGTTTCTCTCATTTGAATAATGTGCATTCATTTGTGTACTCATCAGAATCTGTTTATTGTTATTTCTCATTCAAAAACGCACAAAATTCATATGAATAAATAGGTTAAATTTACTGTGCAATGGAAAATCAATTGAGAAGATTATATTCTGTCTCTAGAATTGTTATCCACTTCTATACATTGACTAAATTTATAAGACAATATTTTTTGCTGATTTCAATTTGATTGACTAGTCTTTTCCATTTTGTGGTGTTGGAACAATATAATGTAATATTTTGAGTTATTTTTATCCCGTTGACAGTTATTTCAGTATCCTATACCATATTTGCTCTATTAGAACCACATCTCCAATACAAGTACATGTAAACCCCAAAACACATTTGTTGTATACTGAATCATTAAAATATTACTTTTGAAATTTATGTAAGCACATGTGCTAAATAATAGAGCAAATACGATAATTATATTCTTTCTCAATTTCATGCAAAGTATAAATGAAAAACCTCAGACCATTAGTGGACTGAGGCCAAACAAAACACCAGTTATCATCTATCAATATTAGTTCTTGTACATTGCTCTTGATGTCTGCCCTCTAGTGGCAGACTAGCACAGGACTAAAGTATATGTCATGTCACTCACAAGTGTACCTGATTGGCTACCCAATCTTAACAGTTGGACCAATCAGAGAGCAGCTTATTTGTTGACATTTTTTTTATGTATCAAATTCTATCAAATTGTATATATGCTTTGAATCAACTGCAGGAAAATGAATAATTAAATAAGGTGTCCTCTTGCGAGTATCATCTGTCCTCTAGTGGCAGGCTGGCATAGAAGAGCGAGTAATTAAATAACATCTGGGGTTGTCACAATTGAAGCTGCACTTTGAAGTTTTTGATTTTGTTGTATGATTATCATGCATTTCATAACGCAACTATATGTGAATTGTGGTCTGCAGTATTTTAGAACAAAGATAATTATACACAATAGTAAATTTCAACAGACACTCAAATGAGGAGGTGAAACGATTGCTAACATTTTAAGATTTGCTTTAAATAAACTGAATCAAATTCATAGCACAAAAATATCAAACATAAAAAATATCATCTTGGACTCCAGACTAAATAAGTCAATTTGAGATTGGGATTTGAATTATAACATGTATTTAATCCATATCTTTGGGTAAATGAGATATAATCAGTGTATTTCTCTGTGATATATTCCGTACACAAACTGTTTTGACAATCTAGCATTGCTGGTATATGTAAATTATATGTAAATGAGGTTGTGTGTTGTCAACATTGTACATAGATCTACTTAAGGTGGTTTTAGGCTTAAATTCTAATAGAGAGTTTTGTCAAGATTGTGAACCAGTCAATATTGTTGGTCGACCATGCAACTAACTTTTTATGTTGTAACCCCAGATGCATCATCAGCAGAGAAGCAATTGGTGTTTAGATTTTGTAACATTTTTTTACGTTCTTTGGGTACTTGGTATCCATTATGTATATTACATGTACTGTTTGAGGTTTTGTCTGTTTAATGTTGTACATAAACTTAATGTTAAACATCTCATAATTATCTGTGTCATCCAACCCTTGCCTTGCCACCTAAGATCCACTGATTTGGCTTTTCATGAATACCGTATATAAGGAATGATAATTTTTAGAGATACAATGTACTTTAGAAATATTGACATACTAAATCCTTTTGCAACTAGATCTATACATGTGCAATAATCTACCTTTCTAAAGTCAATGTTATTTACAAAAAATGACACTTAGTGATGAGTTTATCCACAGTCCCTCTTTAGATCGGTCTGATATAAAGGTTGCTCCTTTCACTTCCATGATGAACACAATTCACTCCTTTCCGAATACGAGTAGTAAAATCGTCAAACTGATAGCTTGAAAAAGTCTTATAGAAATCTGTAAAATTTGTCTTTCACTGTCCATGGTCGCTTCTAGTGCAGTTGTGTGTTCTGAGCAGCTTTAATGGTAGGCATGACTATTGATTAAAACGTGTGAATCATTATATACCTGTGGTTCATTTCCAGCATGACATTTCAAAGATAATTACGATAGTATTTATGCAAATCAAAGATATATAAAATAAGGGTGTGCAACTGGTGTGATGTGTGATAAAGATCCCAAATGAAGTACCGGTACCATGGACGCCGAAATGATGAAACGAATTGCATGAAAAATGTACATTTCACACAATAGAACGGGATCTCCATTGCATATCAGTGCTTATAAATCCTTGGTATGCACAGTATGAGATACAAAGTTGTGCATTCTTTTGGCAATTTCTCATGTACAAGATTTATTCAGAAATAATATTGGATGTGTTTATTTCCCAAAATAACTTGAAATATTTTTGTTGGGACATACCCTCAAAATGTGTATCAAAAGTTTCTCTTCAAATTAGTCACAATTGTATAACCAAAACTGTTAAATAAAACCGCATACCATTACTCCTGCGTAAATCCAGAATAAATACTAATAACTGCTGTACTCGTCACATTTGTTGCATTAGAAGAACACATAAACCAACAATTGCATTATTGTAGACTGAATCATTAAAGACACAGTCATTTACACAATTGTCAACACTACTAATAGAGCAAAATACTGTATATGGTTTCAAATCTTCACCAATACAATCATCTATTTGAAGTACAGCGAGACAACCAAACCACTGTTTGTTTGTTTTGCAGCAACATATTTTAAATGGGCATAATGACCTTTAATCTATAATTATAATTGTGAATAATTTAACATTTTCACTGGTAAGGCATCAACTTTTCTTTGAAATGATTTAAATTTACATCAATGCAAATATTTCCAAGTCTCTAGCAAACTCTACAGTAATCATTGGTGAACGATGCAGCCATGTTTCCTATGTAGTCTAGCAAACTCTACAGTAATCATTGTGAACGATGCAGCCATGTTTCCTATGTAGTCTAGCAAACTCTACAGTAATCATTGTGAACGATGCAGCCATGTTTCCTATGTAGTCTAGCAAACTCTACAGTAATCATTGGTGAACGATGCAGCCATGTTTCCTATGTAGTCTAGCAAACTCTACAGTAATCATTGTGAACGATGCAGCCATGTTTCCTATGTAGTCTAGCAAACTCTACAGTAATCATTGTGAACGATGCAGCCATGTTTCCTATGTAGTCTAGCAAACTCTACAGTAATCATTGTGAACGATGCAGCCATGTTTCCTATGTAGTCTAGCAAACTCTACAGTAATCATTGTGAACGATGCAGCCATGTTTCCTATGTAGTCTAGCAAACTCTACAGTAATCATTGTGAACGATGCAGCCATGTTTCCTATGTAGTCTAGCAAACTCTACAGTAATCATTGTGAACGATGCAGCCATGTTTCCTATGTAGTCTAGCAAACTCTACAGTAATCATTGTGAACGATGCAGCCATGTTTCCTATGTAGTCTAGCAAACTCTACAGTAATCATTGTGAACGATGCAGCCATGTTTCCTATGTAGTTCTAGACAATTTTGCTTCTCTGCAATGTTTTATTCAGAATAAAGATTATTAATGTCATTCCAAGTAATTTGGGTTTGTATTTTTATTACTCTAAATGGAGACCATTTAGCAGACATGGTGGTATCAACATGATTTATGTGAGTCACTATGCCCTCTATAGATTTACTGTGATGCTAATTTGCCATTGAGGGCATAGTAATCAGAGCATGCCAGGCAAGGCAGCCATTAGTGTGGTTTTAGACATCACAACCATCAAGTCCTAATAGTTTTAAATGCATTTCAAGGATTTCCTCACTTGTGGGAGTATTAATCCTAACAAAACATTTTCCATTTTTGTTCTTTGCAAAATTTGGTTGTGATGGTTGTGACATCGGCCTGTTTGATCATTGTAAAGCAAATTCACCCAGTTTTCCAAATAGTATTTATTTTCATTGAATAATCTGTTTACAGTACTCATCAAGGACTTTCTCAGTTTATTATTTATGCTACCACACTTGTTACATGACACAACATAAAA